ATAGTATCTCAAAGTTATCCTGTTTCAAAGGAAAGTCAACCTAATGTGTCCCTCTTTTTAACATGTCCATTTCTGTTAATGATATAATCATTCATCCAATTACCCAAACTAAAAACTTCGGAGCCATCTTTGGTTCTTCTTTCTCCCTCTGCCCCAATATCTAATCAATTACCACGCCTTGTAGATTCTATATCCATTATCTCTTTCATAGATCTTCTTTCTTTTCTTTTTGTGGGGGGAGGGAAGGTGGGGCATTGTCTTTCTTTGCATCCCTAGTGCACAGCAAAATACCTAAAACATAATAGCTGCTTGATAAATGCTTGTCGACTTGACTTGTTGATTCTCTAATCACTCAGACCATCAAATCTGACACCTTGTACTATTACAATGGCAGTCTCTCTATCCTCCCTACTTCCAATCTTTTTTCCTTTCCAATTCAGCCTTCAAACAGGTGCCAAGTCAATCTTCCTAATACCTTGACAGGTCAGAAAATATCAATGACTGCATAGGATCCAATATGGATCTGTTACTTAGATGCTTCCACAAACTGACTTTAAATTACCTTTCTATCCTTATTCTAGGATGCTTCATTTTATACATTCTATATTTCAGCCAAACTTGATAACTACCTATTCTTTAGTCCTGTCCTGCCCTTTTTTACCTTCCAGCTCTGTGGAAATTGTGAGGAATATCTCTTTCCTAGAAGACACTCCCACATGGCTTGCCTGTTTAAATCTTTCTCTTTGACACCTTACTCAGGCCTAATTTAGTTTACATGAGAAGCTTTCTTTCATCTCCACTACCATCTGAAACTCCTCAATTTTTTTTCAAACCATGTTTATATTTGTCCTCATTTTCCAGAACCACATTCTATCCAGTCATAATTTTTCTTCCACATACATTATTCTACCTCCTGTTAAGCCTCCTGACACCTTTTAATTTTTTTTTTCCATATTTGGTATCTTCAGTGACTTATACAGAGTCTTGGGCACCAGAGGTGTCTAATAAATACTTTTGAATTGAATGGAAGAGGAAAAGGAAATGTAGGAATTAGAAGCTGAAATGGATTTAGCTGAGAAAGCAATGGAGAAAAGAGAAAAGGACAAGGAAATAGGAGGAAGGGGAAAAATAGGGGAAAAGAAGAAAAGAATGGAGAAGATGAGGAAGGAGGATAAAGAATATTATGAGAATGAAGAGGAAGAGTACAAAAGAAAGGATAGTGATAAACATGGCCAGCAGGAAGAGGTGGAGAGTGATATACTTATTTTGAGTAAATTGCTGAATTGCATCATAGGAATAATATTGCTTTGGTAGATTAAAAATTGTCATCATTACCCAGTGGAAATCCTCACTTCTTCTTGGAGGATATTTTCCAGTGTTTGGCCTGGGGAGAAATTACTGTGTCCAGTTTGGTGGCACGTGTTAGGAATAGAATATCACCAAACATTCAATATAGTATTTCCTAGCTTATTGTTTTTATCCCCTTTTGGCATATTTGAAAGGATATATTCAGTCTTTCTCAACTATTCCATTAAATTCACAGTTAAATCATTAACTTTTGGAAAAGAATCAAGCAAAACTACAATTCAGTTTTTTTCCTTCTATATTTAAAATAGAAACATGTAACATTTTTCTCCCCTACTTTTTGTAATTTTCTTTTAGTAATTATTGATATTGAACTGAAGTTCAATTGAGGTTCCTAGTGGAGCTATAAGAAGCAAGTGCATGTCAAAATAGCCACTGCAAGACCTTCTCATTTAGAATATGATAATATATTAGGTACATTAACTGTAATCAGTGGAGGCCAGAATATCATAATTTTGTCTCCTTTTAAAGCTAGCATATATATGTACATATATATGTATATATATACATACATACATATGTACATACATACATATATGTAGCACTTTACGATTAGCAAAGTGCTTTACAAATCTTATCTCATTTTATCCTCACAACAAACCTGGGAGGTGCTATTATTCCCTATTTTACAGATGAGGATATTGAGGCAGACAGAAGTTAAATGATTTACCCAGGGTCACACATCTAATAAGCATCTGAAGGTGGATTTGAACTTAGGAATTCCTGAGTACCATCCAAGTACCATAATTTAGCTAAGGCTAATCACCTCACAACACTGAGGTAGATTATCTTAAAAGAGCTACTCAAATGATTTGGGAGAGTACGTATGCATCCTGGAAAATTATACTCGGAGTAGTGGTTCCTCTGTCCTCAATTCTATTCTATCTAAATACTGACTCTAGGAAGGACTGGGCTTACCAAAAACCAATGTTTTGATTTGATCTGATGACAGATCACAATCTCCAGAAAAGTTCTATTCCTTACTTATCATAAGTACCTGATAAGTACTTCTCCATTAGGTATTCATTATAAAGCAAAGAAACAAACAAACAAAAAACTTAAGGCATTGTTTTAATAATTAGCTTTCAGATTGAATTGACTCATAGTATGTGAGTATAAATGGGATTTTAGAGGTCATTTGGTCCAATAACTACTCATCCAATGAAAGAACTATTTTCTTACCATATATGACAGATTGTTTTTTCCTATTAATTACTTGACCTAATAGTCCCTTGTATCATTAGACAGTTTTAATGGTTAGAAAATTCTTACTATGGAGCATAAGTCTACCTTTCACATCCACTCATTTCTCAGTTCTTTCCTGTAGAGCTAAATTCCAGAATACCCTAATTTGAATACCAATCCAGAATAGAGCCATTAAAAATGTGAAGATAAATAGAATGTCTTTACTCATTTGTCAATTTTCCAGGGTAAATATTTCTTAACCATTTTTAAATGATATGTTTTCTACATACTTCATGGTTCTGGTCATTCTCCTTTGGACAGTAGAGTTTTTAATACATCCTTAAAATATGGCCAGAATTGAACCTGTTATGTTCGATTGATCTGTTATGTGTAGTTAACTAGTTCAGAACACAATAGGGTCTGTTTCCAGTACCCAGACAGCAAAAAAAAAAAAAAAAATTACTCCTATTTTTGCTGCATTTATCCTTTGTTAGTTTCTTTTCCTTATCCAAACTTTTAAAGGTAAATATTACTTAATGTGATGCTTTATCACTTTTCTCTCTTTATACTAGGCTCCTTGGTTGATTTCAACATCTTTATTATAACTATATAGATAAATCATATGTATATATTTATACATTATGTATGTATACATGTACCTATATGTACACAATGCATCCACACACAAATATACCTAAATCTGTCCTTTCTCCCCATTTCCAATTTGCTGTGAGACATCTGCATTTGGATGACCTATAGGAAATTTAATTCCAATATTTTCATAATGGAACCTATTTACTCCTCATTCACCCTATCTCAAACACCATAAACTCTTCTTCCTGACTTCTGGGGTAGGGTTGACACTGTCATATTCTAACTCCTACTTCTCCCTTTACCACCACATCCAACCAATATCTGAATCTTGTGGCTTTGTTTTCTCTAGTATCTTTTGAACTTATGGTTTTATCAGATACCACTGTAAGCAGTGCAGCACAGAAAAGCTCAACCAGTTATATAGAAAAGACAACAAACTATGATGATTATTCTTCAAGGCTTGTCTGAATTACTACTTCCTGTAGGAAGATTTTTCTGGTATTCCTCTTTGTTAGTATTCTCTCCCTCCTCAGATGAGCTTTTATTTACTTACTCATTTTCAAATTATATCCACCCTTAGAAGGTAAGCTTCATGAGAGCAGGGGAAATTGTTCTTAAGAATCTTAACTCACAGTAAGTGCTTAATGAATGTTTGTTGCATTAAACTTCAGAATGGTGAACCTGACAACTTTCACATACAGTATTAAACCAATGTAACCTCACCTTGTACAGGATTTTCTCAATTCCTTTTAATTCTAGTAACCTCCCTCTTCAATTATCTCCAATTTATTCTGTTTATATTTGTTTCTATATAATTATTTGCATGGTGCTTTCCCCATTAAACTATGAACTCCTTGGGAGCTGAGACTGTCTTTTGCCTTTCCCTCTATCCCCAGCACACAACCTGGCACATAGTAATTGTTTAACAAATACTTATTAACTGACTATTGATTAATGTAAGTGTATGGTGAGCTAGGCATTTTTTTTTATTATTGTTTTTATTACTGGTAGTACTATGCCATAAGCCCAGAAACATTGCATCCTTAATATTCTTGATCTAATTTCCTAAACAGTTGATAATCTATTTTAGCTTAACTTTGGGGCAGTTCACCTATAAAATGCAGTCCAAACATTGAGAAATTTCAATTTATCCTAAAAGTAGGGACTGCCAGACCTAATGAAACTGATGCAAATAAATCTATTATCTTCCTTTCCTCATTCCAAAAGCAAGTTTCCCATTTGGGGCATTCAAAGAAATGTAAAATAATTTCTTTTACAGTTTCTGAAATCTAATAATGCCAAGAAAAGTTGAAAACCTAATTTTCCAAATGTGAGAGGCAAGCGAAGCAGGTGTTGTTCAAATGGTGAAAACCAACTTAAAACAAATGATTCCTGATATACTTAAATAGTTAACAAAAATTTATTGCAAGAGATATTTCATCACTGGATTTACAGTTTCAAGGAACATAGTACAAAACATAGTGCATCCGCTTTCTAAACATTAAATAGGTGCAAGTACACAAAGATTAAAAAACAAAAGGGTGTACTTTACAACATAAATTACAGTACTATAAATATAGTTTATGTACATTATACATCATCTAAGACAGTTTAATATACAATATATAGCTCATATTAGTTTGTGACTATTCAGTGCTTTAATTATATCATGAGTAAGAACGTTAACGATACATTTGCATCATTACACTTACGGTAAATGATTTCAAATTAATGAGGCCTTATTTAGGCCTGTTGATTTCCACCATTTACAGAGCCAGTTTTCAAATGAAATGAGCACTTACATATACAGGAGTAGCTTTCACTTGGATATTCCCTTTCCCCCATCTGATTGCTGATTAAAAGAGAGGTTGGAGAGGAATGACAGTGGGGTGGGGTGAAAGCAGAGAAGGGAAAAGGGCATGGGGCAGAGGGGGGAAAGCCAGATGGCTGGGATGAAGAACTGAAGATGGAATGATAGGCAACTGAGGAGGTGCAACAAAAGTTGTGTGACTTGCAGGGCAAAGTCTGGGTCCTACTGAAATCTGAGGTAAAGGTGTTCTGGTGAGAGTTGGAATTTGGGAGAGAAACTGTTGGTGGGGCTGGAGCACTTTGAAGGTTTCTGTAGCAGCAGCAGCGGCAGCTGCAGCTGCAGCAGCAGCAGCATGTTGCTGCAGAACCGTGTGGTGGATAGTGGTTACCGAGGTAGAACACAGGGGCTGCTGCAAAGGCAAAGGCTGCAAAGGAGGGCTAGCTGGCTGCAGGGCAGGTGGAACAAAGGTCAACTTGACCTTGGTAGGCAGCAGGCTTGGGGGCATTATGTGCTGGTAGGCCTCACATGGCAGATCTTTGAATTTTTCATGGTTTTCTAAGGGGAACAGTAATGTTTGATCTGGCAAAGCTAATGGTGCAAGGATCTGCTCTGTAGTTAAAAAGGTATGACCATTTATATGTGCTTCTTTGAATGGTAATGGTGGTTGGCTGTTAAGGATTCCTGAATTATACCTAAGCCATTCACTTGCTGCTTCATTCATCTTTTCTTGGGGGAGGGCTTCAGCAAGTTCATAATGGCAAAGGTAGGATTTAGGTGGAGGTGGACCGAAACTCCTTTCAATGTTAGGCAGCTTCAAAGGAGGAAGGTTTTCACTTTCATGTTTTTCTTTTTGCTCCATCATGTTCTCACTTGGTACCTTTGATAGGGCATTAGGTTCAAACACAGAGTCTGGATAATGTTTGAGTTCAAACATAGAGTGAGGAGAATGTTTGATAGCTTCTGGAAATTTACCTGGAATATTCTCCATTTGCATATACTCAATTTCTCTGTTAGTTTCTGGAGGAATGAAACCAGAGGAGTTCAAAGTTAGCTTGTTCTCTTCTGTCTCTGTTTGTTCTGTACTTCTTGCAAAGTCAGTGATGGGTTGTGGTTTTGCTTCTTTTGTGTCCTCCTGGGTCATTAACTCACCCAGGTTACTTGATGGAGATTTTTCTTTCAAACAGCTATAACTCAATTTCCTTCTTAGCTCCTGGTCTCTAAATCCAGAATGAAGTCTAGTTCTTTTCCTCCTTCGTTTCTTCTTAGGCTTGTAGGGTTTAGCCAAAGTTCTTGTTGGTCTCAAATGTTGTTCAGCTAAACAATTCTGTCTATATAAGCTTTCATCTGATGAGCAAGAGTTTGTGTACTGTCTCTTTTTTCGATAAGATCTTTCAGGTTCATTAATAAGTGAATTGTACCCTCTTTTGATGGATGGGTTCTGACCCAGGCATTTCACTTCATTTTGGTGTACTAAACAATTATGGTCTGGGCTACAGCTAGATGTTCTGACTTTCCAATTACTAAATGTTCTGGAGTATGTTAAATTATGTTTTTCAGAATTGAACATTTGTTTTGTTGGCCCATGCAAAAGAGTTTTGTACTTTCTATGGAAATTTTTAGAACTGACAGCTTCACCATTGTTCTGCTTTGTATTCCAGATCTTACACATTCCTTTTTTCTTGTGTAGATAGATGGGCATTGATTTAGGCCTTTTGTCAGGTAATTCATGTGGTTCTTGTGAGTGCTCTTTAGTTAGCCAGGTATTTTCACATTCATCACTATCTTTTTCTGAAATTGCTTCCAACTCATGGTTCTTTGCTGCATCAATGTGATTAGTCTCTGGTTCCATTTTGAAAGAAGTATCTGACTCTTCTTTGGTTACTTCCCCATAATGATGCTGACATAACTTTCTTCTTCTTTTCTTTTTTCTACTTCTGTAAAACCAGTTTTCATGAGTTTCCTTTAACCATGTTTTATTGTGTTTCTCATACATAGTGTCTTCCCTTACTTGTTTTTTAGTGGAGATGAATTTTTCGGGTTTTCCAATCCTATATGGATCATCTTCAAGCTTTGTGCCTATGTCCTCCTTGCTCTTTCCAAAATAGCAGCCTTTGGTAAAATTATCATCAGTTATAAGTGATATGGCATGGCTATACTCATTTCTGCTACTTCCAATTTCATAATCATTGGCCTCTGCAATGGAATCATCCTTGCAATTTATATCTGGACTCCTGCAAGAATCTTCAGTCATTTGCTGAGAATGAAGAACATTTAAATTATGTTTATTTTTTTCCAGACTGTTTCTTGATCGAGTAGACTTAAAGTCAAAGCATAGAGGATTACAACTGTAAGAAATTGATGGTTTAGTACTTGTATAAAACAACATTTCAGATGGCCATTGAAGAACTGTTGATCCATACTTACTAAGCACAGGCACAAAAGGCTCCTGTGGTCTTCTACATACGTCCTCTCTACTCTGCAGAGTTGTGCTATCCCCATCAATATTTGGAGGGACCAAAATTTCAGGTGCCAGTGTTTTACCTTCAGGTTCATTAAGGGATGAATCACTGCAAAGATTCTTAGAGTTTTCCTCTTGGGTAGTGTGTAAAGACAAACAATCATTACCAATGAAAATATCTGTTGATTTATTTCCTATTAGTTCAGATCCATTAGAGTCTACAGATGTGTCTTGATTAGTAATGACATCTTTAGGTTTTGTCTGATCTGTTAATACAATTGGATTTATGTTGCCCTCAGAATCAGCTGACAATGGTAGTTTTGGCTGACAGAAAGGGAGCACTAATAAAGTATCATCTTTATTCACAGGTTCTTTTGTCTCTGTAGTTTCAGGAGTTTCTTCTTTTTCAGAATACATCTCCCCAAGAGGATGAAATGAATTTGGCTTCTCTTCAGGATTCAAAACTACTTCTGCTGGTAAAGACAATAGATGGTGACAAACTCCAGGGACAAATCTACTTTTTCTGTTAAAACCATTTTCTGCAGAAGCATCTTCATTGTATTCAGAGAAAGCTGCAGCTGAAGATTCCAGCTTCACTGATGCTTTCTTTGGAAAGGCAAAAGAAAAGCCAACTTTCTGCCCATGGACTCCAGGAGCTTGGTCTCCAAGATTGTTGGCTTTTGCCTTGTGATTATTTGAACTTTCTGGAACTGAAGCAACGGCATCAGCATCTTTAGCATTCTGATAACTGTGAATCATAGTATCCTTGAATTCTTCCTCTTTATTTACTGAATCTACCATATCTCTTTGTGAAATTTCATTAAAATTCTCTCTCACTGTAACAGTGGTTGACCTGAACATAGGACCACTCCCAGGAGCACTGAAAAACAAAATAAAACAAAATGTATCATATTTAAGAGTATAAGAATGATGATTAAGGAAACAAACATTTGAGCTATTGTATGTTAATATCTTATCAAATTATGCAACTCTTAAAGATACTCTTTTAGATATGAATCAGCTTTAAATGAAGTGGACATTTCCCTAGTGCATGAATAATAATTCATTTGGCACAACATAACAGTAGTTACATTTGTCTGTTCTAACTTCATAATCACATTTGCAAATGAGTTCCTATATTTACTTTCCATGCTGTACACTTTATTAAAGGCACTGATATACATATTCAAATGGTTTTAAATCTCATGCTTTAGGTGCCTCTAGTTTTGGAATCAGCATAGCATTGCTAGAATCTACCATCCAATTCACTGTAAAACAAAACTGGGTATAAAGTGCTTCTATCTTAATTATTCTACAAAATGGTTAAGTTGCTAGTGTTTAAAAGGACGTCTTTGAAGTAGTTTCATGGTATGAACCTGGAGGATAGCAATGCTTGCTTCTGCTATGTGGCTTTCTACCAAAATCCTACCAGATCAAAAAGGGCCAGTTACAATGAATACTTTAAATATAGCTCAACTTTATTTAGCTTAGAAAGTGATTTGGTTCTCATTGGTTAAACAAGGATAGTTTTTCATGAAGATATTCTCAAATACATTTGCATTTTTTTTTCATTCTGAAAGTAGGTTCTTGGAACAAATCGCTGGTGAGCAATTTAAAAGCAAAGGTCAAGAGATGGTGTAGTGATATCTTCACTCAAGTGTCTTCAAGTTTCCGCTAAGAGAACCAGTCAACCAATGCTTTCAACCACTATAGTTTAAACAGAAATAGAACTTGTAGGGTTTTTTTTTTAATAAACTAAAAATATGTGTCATTTTAACCTCCTCTGAAATGTGCATTTAAACAGGTTTCTGCATAAAATTCCAATTCAAATTACTGCTTACAGCCCACGGAAAGCCATGAAAATGTATGTGCCTTATTCTGGGAGTGGATATAAATAGAAATATGCCCTTCATTTCTACCTCCAGTTTTCTTTTGTAATATCTTTTTTTTAAAAAAAAGTTTAGCATTTCATTCCATTCTCACCACGTTGCTTTTTTCCGTAGCTCAGCCAGCTTGTGTAGCCGTTGAAGAGCCTTTTCCTGTTTTCTTTCATCTTTCCTGGATTTAGATGCTACATTTCGTGCAAATTCTCTTTGTTTTAATTCCTTGAGCCTCTGTTAGGAAAAGAAATATGGAAAAGTAAAAGGAATTAGTAGTATGTGGTGCCATGGGAATCCTGATTAATTTTTTTAAAGTACATTTTCCAAACTTTTAACTTTTTATTTTGACTTCTAATAATGCTATAAAACCATGATAAAACGTTCCTGACCATTTGTGCTCTGCAAATGTGTATGTGGTCTTGGCTGATTTAAATGGGCCCCAGAGTTCAATTCTCCTGTCTCATGGTCCAGGAAGGAGACTAGATGGAGATCTAGTGTTGTGGTAGGGTAAGCTTTAAGAGTTTGAATAGATGAGAGATCAGTTGTGTTGTGTGATTCCAGAAGAATAAGCTAATATAGAGTTCAAGAGAATGCAGACAGAGAGAATGATTAAGTGCAGGGTCTAAAGTGAGTGATGGAAGGCAACAGAGATATCAGTCATAGTTTGGGAAGGGAATGTATCAAAATTGGTGAAATGATGGGACATGGCTTAGAAGTAGAAAGTAATGCAGATATTTTTCCTATCCGATCCATGGTCAGCTGCCAAGAGTTAGTTCACACAAAGCTTAAAGGAGAAAAGCCTAATGAGGAACTAGGAAATATGTGGGAAATCGAAGGTACCAAACTAGATTCCATGTAATCAACTAATAGTACAATGCTCCTCTCCTTGCTCAAGGACTCCCACTAGTCATTTGCATTTTGAGAATAACTGAGCTGCACAGAAGTGAAGAATAATAGGGCATATTAAGACTATCTCTCCTAGAAGAACTCCCTGGTTCTTGGTGACTAGGCTTGGGTAGTGTTATTGTTCAGTCATTTTCAGTGGTCAGTTTTTCATGACCCCATTTTGAGTTTTCTTGGCAGATATACTGGAGTTGTTTGCCATTTGGTTTGAGTAACCTGAGACAAACAGGTTTAAATAACTTGCCCGGGGTGACACAGCTAGTGCCTAAGGCCAGATTTGAATTCAGGAAGATAAATCTTCCTGACTCCAGTTCCAGCACTTTCTCCATTGCACTACTTAGCTACCCAGATTTGGGTAAATAAAATCAATTCTAGAGCTTAGATATTCCAAATAAACTCTTTTGTTTTTCAAGCGGATATCCTTCCCAATAGACCAGAAACTAATCGTGATGGTATTGATAATCTAGTAGATTTTAGGCCAAAAATTCTGTCTAGTTATTGTCTTTTAAATGCCACCCATAGTCATGTGGAGTAGTTCCTATGTTCTAGGTTCCTTGTATGAACTTGAGTTCTTAGTTCCAGAAACAGATTTTGAAGAGCTCAGGAAATATCCAGGCTAGGAGAGGTAGCACATAGATATAATTCCTAAAACTGAGAAAAGCTGAAGCTGGTAGAGCTATTGATTTTGAGAATTCTGAGTTATAGAAGAGTTAAAAGCAATTATCAGGTATGCACAGTAATTCTGGTACCAGTATGGTATGCCCTAAGCCCCCTGAATAGAGGGACACCAGGCTTTCCAAGGAGGGGTGAACCACACCAGCTCTGAAAAACAGAACAGGTCAAAGCTCCAGACTGAACAGCACTGGGATGAGGCCAGTGAGTGGCCACTGTACTTCCAGCCTAGGTAAGGTAGAGAAATAAAATATTAAAAATATCTAATTTATGTAACTGGTACAAGACCAAATCTACTTAGTGCACTTTTTGTCATTCATGTTGATATATATAAAACCACATGGTGGGGATACTAGAACTATCTTGCTGTCTCCATTTCTCCAAATCACTCCATCTGTTCGTCTGTCTCTCTGTCTCCCTCCCTCCCATTCTACTGTTGAATCTTTTCCACTCATGCACTCTCTACATAATCTTTCCCAGATCAATATTGATTTACTTAACATATCACTTAACATAAATGCTTCCTACAACACTAGGTGTTTTTCTATGATCCTTCCCTCACCATACCAATATTATTTTTCAAACTTGAAGATGTCCAATACGAATGAGTCATTTCTTATACCTTAAAATCATCCCAGGCCATCAGGGACCACACTATCGTTGGGCCTGTGGTCTTAGGTACTCCAGTGGCATTCTCTATTTCTGAAAGCCATCTATTAACACTGGGGATACTCTAGCCTAGTTGAATATACCTTGTGATCCCCTTGGACTTTCTGAGAGTTTTGTACTGAAGAAGGTGTTCTGTTTAAAATTCATTGAGATTAATTAGCTGAACTATTGTGAGGGTTCCTATAACCCTCCCTATGTATTAATTTCTGAAAAGGAAGCCTATATTAGACATTATATATTGACAATACAAACTTAATCTCCATTTTGGCAAGGTAGCTAAATCCCTGGGGGTCAGCCTATAGTCTGACATCCTAGATGTTCCACAGATAAGACACTCCATCGTTCAGCTCTAGATATTTTCTCTGGCTGTCCGTCATGCTGGAACATTCTTCCTCAAGTCCAACTATTCATCTCCCTGACTTCCTTTAAGTTCCAACTTAAAATCCCACTTCTATAGGAAACCTTAATTTCAGTGTCTTCTCTCCTTTAATTATTTCCTGTATATTCCCGTATATAGCTCACTTTGCATATATTTGCATGTTGACTTCCCTAATAGATTGCAAGCTCCTTGAAGGCAGAGACCATCTTTTATCTCTTTTTGTATCCCCAACCCTTAGCACACAGCTTGACACATAATAGATGCTTAGTAAATGCTTCCTGATTGATTGATTGATTGCTTTTATAGATGGATTTTTACCCAGGAAAAAAATGATTTATAAATGGATGAGTGAATAGTTTTTCCAAGTATAAGTTTGTTATAGACATTGTAAGATGTGATTGGTAATTGGTAATTATCAAGGAATGATTGGTAATTGAATAAGTAAAATCTAGCCCTCTACATCTGGCTAAACCAAGACTCCTTATCATGCTTTATTTTCATATCACATCTAGTCATCTACCCAGGCTATCGTGTCAAGTGATCTGCCTGCCACCTGCACATTGTCCTTGACCTCTCTTTTCCATATCTTACTTGAGGCACAGTAATCAATCAATAATATTATTGCTTGCTCTTTTCTGTAGTGGCAAAAAAAGTGGAAAGTGAGAAGATGCCCATTAATTGGAGAATGGCTAACAAGCTGTGGTATATGAATGTAATGGAATATTAATTTGCATAAGAAATGACGTGCTGAATGAGGTGAATTTTAGCAAAACCAGGAAAGACTTATATATGACCTGATGCAAAATGAAATAAGCAGAACCAGAAAATTGTACACAATAACAACAACACTGTGCAATGATCAACTGTGAATGACTTAGCTCTTCTCAGCAATATAATGATCCAAGACAATTACCAAGTACTCATGAAAAAAAATGCTATCCACATCCAGAGAAAGAACTAATGGACTCTGAATGTAAATCAAGGCATATTATTTTCACTTTCTGTATTTTTTCATTTTTTTTTCTTTTGGTCTATGTTTTCTTTCACAACATGACTAATGTGGAAATATGTTTTACATGATTGCACTTGTGTAATCTATATCAAATTGCTTACCATTTTAGGAAGAAGGGAGGGGAGGGATGGAGAGAGAAAAATTTGGAGCTCAAAATTTTGTAAAAATGAATGTTAAAATTATCTTTATATATATTTAGGAAAAAATTCTATTAATAATAAAACAAAATGTAATATTATTACTCATGGACAGCATATAGTTTGACTGCACTGTTTATCAACTCACTGTCCTTATGACTCCTCAGACTAAAACTTTCTTCCCTGAGAAAGAAATTTCTCTTAGATATGTTGTCTCTACAAATTAGAATGTCAACTTTTGAAAGCAGGGATGCTCTCTCTTTTTTTTTTTTATGGTATCCCCATAAATTCAGAGCCCAGATCCCAGCACATGACAAGTATTTAACAGACTTTTTTTTTCATCGATTGATTAGTCAATGATTCCATTCATGATGTCATGAATATTTTGGAGATTTAGTGGTGAAGATAGATGTTTTTAGGGTCGGTAGATCAACTAAGTTAATGGAACAAAATCTTGCTCTAGAGAGAAAACGATATTGGTGGTAGGAAATGCAACATCAGAGATACTTAAAGGTCAAATTTTCTCATTTGGTGTGGCTTTGATACTGGGTTGGTGGGTCACTGAAGTACCAATAACAGCTGCCATTTAGGTAGTGCTTTAAGGTTTGCTACAAGTTTTCCTAATATTGATCTTGTAAAGCAGATAGTATAAATGTTATTATCTCAATTTCATAGATGAGGAAACTGCTATTTCTTCACAGTGCCTTTCACCTTCTATGCCTTTAATCAATGTTTGCTGGATTAAATTAAATTGAGGTTCTAAGTGGCTAAATGACATGTTCATAGTAGCTAATAAGTGTTTCAGGTAGAATTCAAAGCCTTGTTTCCCAATTCCAATTACAGTGCCCTATCGACTATACCACTCCGTCCTCCTGGGCTCAAAAAGCAAAATGCTCTCCAAAAATCAGAAATATTCTAGTTCATGGTCTGAGATAATGTGCTTATGGTATCTGTAATCACAAAAGATCATTTGGATAAATAAAGATACAGTTTCTATACCCCTGGGTAGCCCAGTAGAGTGTATAAAGTGAGTCTTCTATGTGAGGCAAATGATATTGGAGGGATAGAATTCTAATGCTGGGATGCTACAGATCTATTTTATGACTAGCAACAGGGAGAGATTGATGGTGAGATGAACCCCAAGTGGGAGATGGTCTCTAGTAGTTACTAGAAGCCCTGGATCTTGGGTGGAGTAAAGGAATTCCCTGCTCAGTATTTGGATCTACTGTCAATTCAATTGCATAATTTGAGGAACAATATGGTAGCAAAGGCTCTAATTCTTTAATTTTGAATATATCAACAAAATCTTGGTTAAAATGGAGATGGCAGCTCCAGAATGATTACCGGTGGTTTTAAGTAGCAATGTTTTACTGCTACTTAAGGGGTTTCTCAAAATTTTGGAGCAAAATAATGGAATCCCAAATGATCCACTTGGTGCCACCATTCTATATACATGCAGGTC